TTCGTTACAGCAATAAGTTTGATGTGTGTGTGTGTGTGTGTGATATACCTTGTTGGAAATGAAGATCACGTTTACCAATATAACAATCGCTTCATGGTCAAGCCCGCTCTTTATAAGTGGCTCCAGAGCTGGAATAAAATATCGCATCATAGCAGTCATTGCAGCACGGATGGAACCAATGCATTGATTACTGCCACAATTTTGGAACATCGTTTTTTACCATCGGTATGGTATTTAATCTTTGAAGAAAAAAATCGGTAAAATGGTTATGACCCAAGGTTCCGGTTGTGAATCGGCACGAAACGTCTGCCTGCTTTGACCTGGGCAGCAAGGGTATGCGNCACACACACACACACACACACTGAACTGATCCTCTTGCTATAAAGATTATTGCGGTGTAGTGTTTTTTGGCACACATTCTAGACTCAAACATGTGTGAAACACCATTACAGCTAGACAGTTGATGGCTTCCTTGGTTTTGTTCTCACAAGTAGGGTGTTTTTCTATTTTTAAATCATCAGGGAAATTTATCTGATTATGCAAAATGTCACACTTGTTTGACCTAGTTATTTTACTGGTTGACGCTACCGTTAGTGCATTCATTGTCTGGTGGACATCCACGTCGGAATTAGTTTATTCAACCTTGCTTAGCCCTCCACAAGCGAGAGTGCTAATTTTCCAGTTTACCGACATCAACTAGAAACTGGTAAAAGTAGTAGTTGTTCAAAAAGTGGAACAATCATGTAGTCATGGTTTGTATTTGTGAAGATTTCGCGGCCTTAGATGTCTTTAGTAGTCTGAACGACTTAAACTATTTCACCTGCAATGATCGACAACCCATCCTATTCGAAACCAGAACCCATCATATGCTCGTATCCCGAAGGGTGCTGGGAGCGAAGGTGGAGGAGAAACTCCAAATACGTGTTCACGCAGTTTGGCACATCCCAATGTGTTAACTGATCCCGGTAAAGTGACATACAACCCCGTCCTCCCGGGGGCTCATGAACAGTCCAGTACGAGCATGCAGGAACATGGCGAAACGCACGCACACACACACACACACAATGGATACTTGATCCACTTTATTCCACAAATATTATGAGCACTTAACTTGAGTATTCGACTGGTATTCCATTCGGTTTCGCATGTCGCACCGGGTGGGAGTGATCATGGTTTTTGCATTCGTCAAAGTGAGGTGAACAGATACGAACTGGAGAGTCCAATCAGTAGGCAGAATAACGATTGGGATTTGTAGCCTGAAGGTTTCTGACAGCAACCAAACCGAGAGTCCGCTGTTACACCGATATAGAGGCCCATCCTACTTGGATCAACAATTTCTACATCATTTCCACCCAGTGAGGTGCCAACTTGATCCGACCATAAGACTGTATTTTTTCTTAATCCTACCCTCTAACCGCTCATTCATACTTAGATCTTTTGCTCTAAAGCGCAAACAAATACATGGGTAATCGCAACACGTCAAGATGCAGTCTCTTATTGCTAGAGCGGTTATTAGTGATTGTGACAGACCGACAAACAGACAGATAGACAGGCAGACAGATGGACAAACAGGTGTTGGTTGCCTTTGGTCACGCGTTTAACGGTTTCTGTGTGTCGACTTTACCGGGAACCGCGATTGATCGAACTCATGCGGTTAAGTGATGATGCGGTTTTAAACTAGAGGATCTTACATCCGGAAAGACTGTGATCAACAGCACTCCAGAAGCAATTTTGTTGCGCAGTTAACATCAGAAGTATAGGCTACTTAAGCTGGTTACACAATTGAGGATGGTAGTTTTGCATGTCTAGTACCTCGATTATTCAAGCTGTGTTATGCACGTGCTCACCGATGGAACGAAGCGATCCAGGAGTTATTGAGAAAATTTGCTTTTGGGGGTACTCTATTCCAGTGTGTTACGGGAAAACTATCAATGAGGTTCGTGTGTGCATACCATAAATACTCAGGCAGGAGAGTTGTAGTGTTATAATTGCACAAGGCGGTGCTCGGTCGAGGATAGTTGTTTATTGAGGATTACGAATGGGACATCACTGATTTGGCGTGCATAACACTGAAATCTCATCAGAAACATACCATCGCAGTTCCCGGCCGCACAACGTGTAATGGATGTAGCGACCGGTAGTTATTCTTTGAGATACAGCAATTTGCCCTCGGTAATTATGTCAATATTTGATCGTCGAAGTAAATCACCTATTATGTTGCCTACTATTAACAAGTGAATAGTATCTCACAACAGTAGGACAATGAAAGGCTGCCCATTAACAAGTGAGAATGTTGGGTGATTGTGAAGGGCCGTTTGAATCGACAGACGTGGAGGTGAGGTGCTAATGTGCTATACTGCTCGACCGCTGTTACAAACCAATAAGCTAATTGTTATAAAGAAGGGGGGTTTGGTCTTCATTAGTAACACTCGGTAGGTAAATAACTTTTGTACAGTATTAATCCCAATTTCACATTTCTGTTTCCCATATCGACATCAAAACTAGGAACGGATTTGGCTCTTCAGAAATGAAGAATATGGGACTGGTGATGGCAGCAAACCTTTTGCTTGTAAATATATATACCCATGTATTCGATGCGACTGACTAAGTGAGTCGGTATTCATCCCCCAAAGTCTGATGTGATTTGTCAACATGCAGATAGATACACCAGTGTTAGGAAAGAGGGAGTCGAACTAGCGACTTGACTTCACTCCGTGCGACCAACACATGTTCCTAGGCAAAACGAGAACCCCCGAGCTGTATTCACATAAATGATCATTAGACGTTCTTATTTCTTGTGAATTTTTCGTAATTTCAATGTTTTTGAACTATGCCATCACTCGGTTCATTCATTATGTGTATGCGTGGGGGTGCGGGTGGGATATAG